GCTTCCCTATTTCCTTCTTTGATTGTCTCCCCAAGTTCTTCTGAATCCAGGTACATTTCCGCATCCAACACCCAAGACAAGTAATTCTCTCCCGAAATATCAAATGCAAGGTTGGTAAGGTTCGGCATATTTCACTGAAATCATTATATACAAAGATATTAAGTTCTATAAAATCAAACAAAGATATAGTCCCGTGGAAAATTCAGTTGAAATAATTTTCAGTTAAATGACATAAAACTATATAAATCTAGTAACATAAGATATGTGCACTATTAGGTTGAAAACGATTTTCACAATAAAACTTTGAAATCTTTTTCAATCATCAAAGGATATAAATATATATATATATATATATGATATTACCATAAAATAATTTTTAGCTTTTATCAAAACAAATTTAAGCAATCATATATTAAATAAATTTTGAAGCAATAAACAATCAGGTCTTGGTTAAAGACTAAACATACAATACAAGCTCCTTATATTGAAGTATGGGCATATAACCGAAGAGCATAACTAAACTATGAATCAAAGTATCAAACGTGTAGCAATAACGTGATGAATTAAATAATAATTTCAACATGCTAGACGTATGTGTATCATTCGATCTATGATTCCAACATATAATAAGACTGTACGGATTAAACGTAAGTAACATTGTTTTCTTATTAATTACTACAGCATGACTATTATATTGACCAAAAAAATCGAACATAGACTTAGATGCTTTTAGTAACGAAACAATATATTATATGAAACTCTGATGAACCAATAACGCATAATGATATTCAAGCGTTAATCAACAGATCTAATGCAACGATATAATTACATAAACAATCGGTACTTTGACTCATGTGACTACGCTTAGTGTGTGACCGATTATTATAACAATTCTAATAAAGCCAAAACGATTGACAAACAAATCTTAATGAAAGTAAAAGCAATGATCAATAACCATTAACCAATATAACATGAAATACTTGATCTATTATACTAAAGTAATAATTCAACAGTATACAAACTGATCTAAATAAAACAACTATAATTGATAATTCAAAGCGGTGGAAAGAATCTAATCTTCTAGACCAACTCAAGAAATACAAACAACTCATCAAACTAAATAATAATAAAACATTAATCATGACTGCATATGATCGCTTATAACAAAACGTATGAAACAATAAGATCGAAACCATAAATAACTATTAACTATAATGTGAACAACAAATTATATAAGCAAGACTATGACTAAATCGGCTACTCGATTATATAATAAGATCTTGTCAACTAACAAGAGACGATGCATGAGAATATTAAATCATTAGCCGATTGATTATTAAACATGAGGTTACTTACCTCGGTGACGATGAGATCAAAAGTGGACAAAAACGGTGAAGATTTGTGTTAATTCGGATGGATAGGACTTCGCGCTGATAATCTGTTATAAACAATAGGTTTTGGGATGGTTCTTATTGTATTATTTATGAGTTATAGTATATATATAGGGATATAAAAGTAGGGTTTTAGCTTAGAGAACAACTAGTATAAAATTTTCTAGAATATTTAATGGACCTATAATGGACATCTACATAATAACCCATTATTCATAACAAATCCAAATATTAGTTGTTTCATATCTTGAAACTTTTTTCCTTAACTTTTTTAAAATTAATTTAATTAGTATAAATAGACATTTCAAAACCTTAAATCTAATCGATCAAATTTGTCTGACAAAATTAATTACTAAATTTGTATTTTCTAACAGTTAGAAATTTGTTTGTTTTCGGTGTCTCGTTAGCCTTATTACAGTTCATAATTGTTAACCTTATTAGAAGATCCAAAAGAAGCTCAAGACAGAGTTTTTATGAGAAGTCTATTACTCGATCCATGTAATTAGCTAGATTATCTAAGCAGTAAGCAAGTGTAGTCTCTTATATATAATCATGTAATAAAAATAATGAGACTAACCTAGAGAGTTGCCACTTTGAGCAACTCTCCTCTTTCCCCTTTTATAAAATCAAATCTAAAGTTATTGTGTTTTTTTTTGTGACAATCTAAAGATCATCTCCCTTCTGTTACTTGCACAAAATAAAACTTTAATAAGCTACATTTCAATCTTTTTTAGTAAACTCTACAATAGTTAGAATAAGCTTGCTTTGGATTTCCTTACAAACCTTTTACGGGTTGTGTTACTTTTTTAGTGGGTCTGAAATAATACTTTTCGTGTGGCAAATTGTCTGTATTCAGTGGTAGGCTTAATCTCTTGAATAAAATTTCTAAGTGGCGGAAAAAAAATAAGGTCAGCATTCGTTTCTAGAAACATGAACACGAAACACTATGTCGGGAGGGAGAGATTTTTACGTATTCAAAACCTAGAATTACAACGTAAGCTCTTAATACATGTAGGGCTTCATTTTCAAAAGTTCGGCATTAAGATTTTGGCACAACCAACCCCAAACATTACATGTACTTAATTGGATGCAACAAAGAAACAAAGTCACGTAATATATATAAGCTGGAAGATGTATGTAACTATGTATAGAAAAAAAATGGAAAGAGAGACTCGTATATAACTTCATTTTATCGCATAAGCAAACCAAAATTCAGTAATCAACAATAAATATATCGTTTATCGCATAAGCGTAGGAACATAGCATAATTCAAAACAACTTTTCATGTGATAGATATTTCAAAATATTTAGAATTTAGCTAAGAATTTCTTCGCACACCTACGTTAAAAAAAGTTATAAGTTTCAATCCTTATAAAAAAAAATGAATAGATTTTAAAATACAAACATTTTTAGGTTTATTTCTTCACTATCCTTTAACCCCATAATGTAGAATTGTGGAAGTTTATTTGCTTATTTCATATTTTCGTGATTTTGTAGAGTTGTGTCTGGAAAAATCCCAAAATTCTAAACTTATTTTGTTGTTATCATGCCTAGTAATACCAAGAGAAACGTTAATATATATATATATATTTTTTGCTAAGAATGTAAATATTTCATTAGAAATGAAAAACGATTAGGAGTTACAATAAAGTAAAACCTATATTTTGGTTCCATGGCAAAAAAAAAAAAAAAACATGGAACCAAATTTCAATCGGTCCATTGACATCGACAAAAGCAGTGACGCTTTCAGAATCAATGAAGCGATACAACGATTTTGATGAATCTCCACGATGAAACTTCAAGGAGGAAGGTACACGTTGTCAAACGGCGAAGGCCGAATCATTTGATGACCAAGCGAAAGGAAGCCTTTCACCGGTAGGCCGAGAACACTGAGCCGTCAACGGCGTAGCACAAATAGCACACAAACACTGACTCCCCTCGCGTCATGTGAAAGCGTCAATATGAACTTTCCATGAGCTTTCTCAGATCGGAACTACACGAACCAAAAGAAACAATAGCGTGGATGTACGCGCCCGATTTTTATCACCGAAACGCTAATATTTAAATTCTAAGGAATATGATTTTTATGTTATTTTGGTCATAAAATTAATTTAATTAGTATGATCGAAATATTATTTTTATTTGTAATGATGTGAGGTTGAAGTATTCTTGAGGAAACATAAATAGCCGTAAAATATCGATTAGAAGACGTACGTAAGTTGTTCTAATCGGTGTTTGACTGCTATTTGTTTTCCTCCACAGTCCATTTCATCAAACTCACAATTCATTGTAAATAAAAACAATATTTTCTAAATCATATACGTATAGCCTTTCAAAAAGTGATATTTGTTTACAAAAAATTAGTGTTTCTCAACCACACGCCAATCGCTACGAATCAAGACGTTATTATAAGATAATTAATGAGTAAATTTGGAAAAATACCCTCTTTTTGTTTACACTTTTGAAAAATACCTTTTTCTTCATTTTTACTTTTAAATATGTAAAATCAATCTTAATAATGATTAATAATATCTATATTTCAAATATCAATTCAATTTATTTGTAATAATTAAATATTTAATTTTTACAAAGTCTGAATATAACTAAAAATTCCAAAAAATTATTATCTTAAATATTCTTTTAAAGTAATAATGAATAACAACATTCTACCGATGTTAAGTTATGATTTTTATTAAGTCATATGTTATTGTTATGGTGCAGATTTTGATAATTCATTATTATTGAAACAAATAATATAGTTTACTTTGAAAAAAAATTCAAAGAAAATTATTGAATAGAAGCAAAGTTTGGTGATATGTTGAGCTGAAAAATGTGCTTGGAATGTTGGAGATTATTTTATTTTATATAATATATAACAAATATTAAGGGATAGAATTTATAATATTTTTAGATATTATCTTGTTGAATTTTTTATAGATAAAACTAATAAAGCAGCTTTGTATTAAAAGTATATATATATATATATATATAATTAATATTATTTCAAATTTAGTTAATTTTTTTCTCTAAATTCTAGTTTAGTTTTGATTTACTAAAATATAGCTTTAAATTTAAATTAATACATATTGTCATTTTACATATAAAAGATTGTAGTTTTCATTAAAAATAGAAAAAGGGTATTTTTCAAAGCATAACTTAAAAACAGGGTAGTTTTCAAAATGACCCATAATTAATCATGTAACGTTAAAACGTTGGATTCACTTAATTAACAAAGTTTCGTTTAAAGTTTAAACTATAACTTTTAGACACAATGAAACAAAGCCATTTCATAATTAATAAGCAAATTAATCATCGAAACTGAAAGAAGAGTATCGCAAATTAAAAATGTATTTATTCTTTAACATACCTGAATTAATCGTTTTTACAAGATAATCACATAAGAGGAAAAAAAAAAAAAGATAATCACATAAAACAAGTTATCATTTTAGACACGCATAATATGACTCTATGAAACGAAACTACTTCTACAAAACATGATAATAATAACTCATGGATGTTTTGAATGATAAAGAAATGAATAATCACCGTTTTAAAAATGTGTAAAACATTGTAACTTACTAACTTGCTTACCACAAAATCAATTTAGAATAACTCAAAAATTGAATAAGAATCTAACTCATCCTCGAGAACATCCTTTAGAGCATATCTATTAATTATTGTTTGTTACAAAATCACTATCACAAGCTAAGAACACACACAAAAATGAAAAAGAAAAAAAGAAAAAAAATTGAAACTCATCGAATATAAAAAAGTTTATTATCTTATAAAACAGATTTGACATGATTAATTAAGTAATTTGTTGCATTTATCTTTGATCCATTTGAAGCTTTTCCTGAAAGAACCTTTAAGCTTACCTTCAACAGTATAAGCTCTGTAACTAACAACTCTCTTCTTCCTTTGTAAATCTGGATCCACAAATCCCCAAGAAGACGATGAAGATGATCTTCCTTTCTTCGGGTTCGGGTCTTCCGGTATCCGGGTCGGGTAATCTGTGTAGGAAGTACTGTAAGACCTAAGATCTTGCATACCGTTACCACTGAATGAATCTGGACCGTCGGATCTTCGGTGAGCTGAATACTGTTGAAGGTCTGATGTTCTTCCGTCACCGTACGATCTGGATCTGAAGTCTTCCATTTTGGACTCTCAGACAGAAGAAGAAGAAGAAGTGATGGGATTGGTGTGTGAGAGGGTTTTGTAATAAAGTTGACGAATGACTTCTTTTTTTTTTTTTGTTTTTGTTTCTGTTTCTTTCTTTTACGAGAAGGAAAGAATCTTTTGTTTCAATTTATACATTGATACTTCAAATAAATATAAATGTATATTTGCAAAATAACCTTACATTTTTTTATTTGTAAGAATCTTGTAAGAGGATGGATTTTTTTTTGTCTGGTAACACATTTTTAAAAACTTTGATAGTAACAAAATTAGGTATTTACAATAAAGCGATCGCATTCTTTAGCAAAATTTAGTTATATTACCTAATAATTATTTTTGACTGATTTCTTAAGGAAGAAAACCATACCATGTTAAGTTGATAATCATTTTTGTTGACTATAATTTCCTTTGATTTTGGAAATTTAAGAATGTATTGATAAGAGAAATGAAATTAACAAAAAAGTGATATAGTTGTTGTTTTGTTTATTTGGAAAAATTTTGTCCAAAAACAAAAAAAAATTTTGGAAACTAAAAAATAATTTTTAGAGATATAATTTTATTTTGTAGTTATTTTATAATTTCGTATTCTAAGTATTATTTTAAATTTTCATCCAAAATTATATATTCTTGATTTCTTCTAGTAAGAAAAATTTCTTTAAAGTGTATAAAAACAGAAACCATACTTCAATTGATTTACATGTCTTTCTTAGATAGAAAATTGAAGTAAAAATGAATTTCATATTGAATTTAATTGAAATATTAACATGAAATATATAACTGCTAATTTGAATAATAGTAATCTTAAATAAAAATAGTACACCACTTTGTCAAAAAAAAATAAAAATAGTACACTACCTTTTTGGGAAATTGTTAAAAATGCCTCTTCTGGTGTGCCCTTTTTCAAAAATGTCTCTTTTAGATGTCTATTTTCAAAAATGCTCCTTTTTAAATCTGAAATTTTTATAAAGTTTTATTAGGTTTATAAGGTACTTATGGATTGTAACTACTACTTGAAGACTCGATCCAAGTATTTATAAGGTTTTATAAGGTGTTTTTAAAGGTTTTACAAGTTATTTTAAAGATTTTTTAAGGTTTTTCAAAGGTTTTACAAGATATTTTAAAGGTATTTAAAATGCATTTATAAGGTATTTATAAAGTATTTATAAGATTTTAGATACATAGAAATGTAGTTTGTGTATGTTTTAATAATGTTACATATATATTTGGGTAAATCTTATATTTTTAAGAGTATTTTTATAAGATTTTAAAGAAAGTAGCATTGAAAAAAGGCATTTTTGCAAAAGCCCCTACCTTTTTTATAGTCCGAAAAATAAAAAAGAGTCCAAGTCAACATGAGGCGCTGAGTCAGAGGCAGCTGTCTCCGAGAGTCGGTGGAGCGTTAAAAATTAAATTACTTCCAACTAAATTTCTTTCTATGTTTGACCAACCTCTCCACGTGATCTTCACGTGGTTCCTCTCGTAACCATTTTTGTTTTCTTTTTAAGGAAAGAAGTAACCGTAAATAACTTTGTTTCTTAATATAACTCGACTAAATGTTGATGCATTATGAGTTTCATTAGAATTTCTTGTACAATGAAATATTTTTAACATATTTTAATTTGTGCAAATTGTTATACACTTTGACCTTTAGATAAGGTATCTCTATGAAAGCTTAAAAATTGCCCATGAGGTTTCAAACAACACAGAAAAATTTCATTATTTCGTTGCTCCACCTATTAAATTAAATAAATATATATATTAGTCTTTCTTTCATATCCCAAGATTTTTGTTGCAGTCTTTCTTGTCGAAATTTGGATTTCAATATTTAATTTCATTTGAGGAAGTGTTTGAAAAGGTAGAAGAAAGCTTCTCAACATAATTCGAATGGGAGTCATTATTCTGTTTGTTGCACATTGAAAATTTCTCTACAATTTTACATATGCCATATGTAATGTAACAACTGATATTGTCAATCATGATGTTCGGGCCTCAACAGTAATTGCAATTTAGAGTCTTGTCTCCTTTGGATACATACAATTTAAATAAATACGCTACACAAAAGATAAATAAATGGCCATCCACAAAACGGGACCACCAATCAACTTTATTAGATTTCATACAATCCCCATGCATTTATCACATTTGTCCTTTTTTTTTTCCTTATTTCGAAAAGTTTTTTTACTCGATTTGGTCCAAACAGTTAAACCTCACAAAACTACTATTTCTCCCCCTCTTGTTTCCAAAAGAAGCATTTCTTTTTTGGTAACAATTATTACAAAACAGTTTTTGATTGAAATTTCTTTACACCATAACAAAATCCAATATCTCGATCTACTTTTCTTGATGGGGTTAAAGACAAGAGCAGATCCAGATAACGAGATTCACAAGTCACAACTCAAACGGGGTTCGCGTGTCTCTACCAAAATTTTTGCAGATACAACAACTCTAATTTTCTTTTCTTCTTCAATGGTTTTAACACTTTGTTGTTTTAGCATCAGAACCACCACAACATCGATGGAGATCCAACAAGGCCATAGTCCATAGATGTTTGAAGAAAGTCATTTTTGAACAGTTGTTTCATGACATCGATCCTTTGCGGTTCATCAGGTCGTGGTAATAAAGAAGCACACACATCGGTTGTCCGAAAATGCAGAAGATGAACCAGAAGATCATGTTCCCCACCTAATAATGATCCCATTCCAAAAAAACGGATAACCTTTATTATTAAGTTTCAACATTGCGATTTAAATGGCTAAGCTATGAAAAAGAGAGTTATTCGTTCTATTTTCTTGGGTTTTGAGAGCATACCGTTGATCCAAACCTTTCTTGTAGATAGTTTGTGATAAAAACCAAAGGCACCTACTCAAACACATTGGTTGGTCAGAAAATGAGATTGTTTGTAAAAATCGACTGCAGAAATTTAGTAATTTATTTTACCTGAAACATAATCCCAAGAAAAGCCCATAGCTTGAAGAGACGACAAGGAACTGCTATGCATAGCTGTCAAAAGGAAATTTGTAAACACAAGATCGTTAAGTAAGAACAGTGCTTTGAATATTAGTATTTTTTCACTAGCGTGAGCTAATGTGGCTAGAGACAGGGCAATGCAGAAAGTATGTATACCTCATGAAAGACTGCAGAGACTAAGAAAGCAATGATGATGGCGAGCGTCTGGAGAACAAGTGTGTGGAGGGTTAAAGTTATAAGAGCACAGAAAGAAACCTCGACCATTGCATATCAGTATATATCTCACTCACCTTTGGTATCTTGCTGCGCAGGCACGGGAAGTATATATGTCGAACCATCCATTTATGAACAGGCTGTCAAGAAAAACAATATCTTAATTAGTTCTCTTCTTTTATTTAGTATAGAAACGAAGGAGATGTTTTAGGAAGAGAACCATACCATATTCCACATTCTCCAGTACTGATAAAGGAAGACAGTGAATACATGAATTTGGTTAGTTAGATGAGCCAAATACAACGACAATAGTAAAAATCATAAGTTTTTTTTTTTGAGTAAAACAGCTCACATCTCCCACACTTTTTGCATTCCACCAATCTTTGTAGAATTCACGATCCCCGAAGCAGAGAAGCTCTGCCAATATGTTTAACCTGTGGACAAGAGCAACACAAAGAGATTTGTGTTCAGTAACTGAAATTACATCACAGACTATCAGAGACTAAAATTATCAATTTCTTGATGAGATATAGCCTTTTTCTGTTGTTCGTCTTTGGAAATTATGTTGAGAGAGAAGGATCACAGCATACCAAAGGTGGAAGAAGCAGTAGAACATACAGAGCCACACGTATAAATTTGGAACTGAAAGCTTCAACACTCTTTCAATAGCGTATAGAAGATCCCCTTTCAAAGGATGCTTTGAGTTCCTGACAATGGGATTTATATACTGCCAGAATGTAACAAAAGAAAATGAGTCAAGTGGTGACAATGCAGGGATGATGATGTTCACTAAGGAAAATAATAAAGCAAGATGTGAAAACGAACTTGTTCTATTATAAATCCCATGAATCCAGTGAATATGACCAGTTTTGCAAATTGACGAGCCACCCAACCCTTCCGTATACATGCTGAACGTGGATAGCTTGGCTGGGGAAAAGAAAAGACCCGAGGTTTAGACAAGAAACTCTTGCAAGTGTAAGAATGGTTGATGCACTTAGCAATTACCTGATAACACAATGTGGGAGCGACCATGAAATATGCCAAGCTCTTCAAGCTAACATAGTAGGAGACTTCAGGATTGGCCTAAAGTTCAAAACAGAGTTTGGTTAAAACAGTAACAAAATGCAAGTGACTAATATATATATTTCTTTTTCGTATTTTACCTTATCAGCTGCATTGGCTAGGGATCTTATGTCATAGCTAGTATGAGCATAAGAAACCAACTTTAGCCACACAATGCAAGTGAGGAGCATCAATGTGACACCTGATAAAAAAGCAGAATCACACCTGTCCATTTTCAAGATCACCGAGTCAGCCAACTAAACTTAAAAGGAGTATCATAAACTGAGACCAGAAACATCATAGCTTAGTTTTTCACCTTAGGGTGACGTAAACTGGATACAAAACCTCTGTCATGGTGATAATAATATGAAGAAAGATGACAACCTTCAGCATTTTCAAAACATAACTTGTAAGTTCTTCATAATACAAACTTGTCTTCAATAAGCATTACAGTAATGGCTGGAGAATAGTAAATTACTCACAGGTTCTGATATGTATTTCTGAAGTACCAATTTCTCAACCGTAAAAGCAGCCAAAGGAAAGATCGAAAGGGATATACTGCAACAAGAAGAATTAAAGAAGAAGTTAATCACTAAACTCATCATTATATGTATAACAATGCTGAAAAAATCATCTTTTACCAACACATGAAAAGCGGCCAATCTCGCAGCGATCTTGAACTAAACCAGAAATCCGTTCTGATCAACCAACCATACTACATGAATGACAGCAACAACAAAGATAAGGTCTCTAATAAATTTTACAATACCTTAATAAGTTTTCATGCAATTCGTTTCTTAAAGGAGAAAGAAGTAACAAACCTTCATAAGATTTTCGATGATGAGTCTACTGTTTACAGCAATAAGAACTACTACACAGAGGTTGAATAATCCGGCATGGCTCTGCAATGCAAAAAAACAATCACCAAACTCAATTCCATATGAAACAAAAATTGATCTCTTAAAAGCTAGAGCAATTTGAGCTATGGAACTCAATTTGATATCAAATTGTTACAGTATCTGAGATTTCTACCTGTTTGAAGATTGCGTCGGAGCTGAGTGGACTCTCCCTCGCCCTCCGATGAGCTGGAACCGACGGTCGATACGTAAACGTAGCATCGGCGTTTCCTCTTCCTTCTCCGCCGCCTCTTCCACCACCAGTTTCCCTAATTTCGGTATCACCAGCCAAATTGGCTGTTCCTTGAGCGTCGTCGTTAACAACGGAATCAATCCGATTTCTAACGTCGTCCGGAGGTCCAAGATCATCTGAAGGTGAATTATCGTTAGAATCCGATCTCGATTTGCGTCGACGAAGGCTATCAAGATCCACAAACTCTCCGCCACCGTTCTCCGTCGCCGTACTAACAACGCCTCCAGAATTCAAAATCGCCATTTGGAAAGCGGTTGACGAAACAGCTTCGAAGAACGTCGGAAGAAACGGCGTCAGAGAGAATCAAGAAGCATGCAGAAGAAATTGAAAGAGGAAAAGGTAAAAGAGAAATGGAAATTGAAGGAAGAAGCTACGAAATCGGTGGGAATGGATTCGTCGTGTCTGGTTGCTCGGCAAAGTTTGAAGAGAAGAAAGAAAAAAGATTCACGAGAGAGGAAGGAAGATGACAACAATGGTGACGGAAGATTTTAATTGAAAAGCGGTGTTGCCGATATTTTTTTGTTTTTTTTTTTTTTTTTTAAATTACCAATGTGATTTATTTTTATTTTTGCATAAGATATCCTCTGGTGAGAATTTTCATAAACATCGCCACGAAAATCCCCCGAATTTATAAATCTTATGTTTATTTTTAATTTTGTCTTCATCTTAATTTAAGTTTTGTTTTTTTTTGAAATTATGTTTTACAGTTGGGATGTTATACAATAAATTATTCTAAAGTAAATCAATAAAATTGTAGTTCTTGATCATTTTTAGAATATTTTGAAGAACTGATATAGTATTTAAAATATATATTTTTATAAATTTGGAAGAACTATATGTAATATTATCATAACCATATTCAGTGGCTTTCCAAACCATTTAAGTTAATTATATATGTTGACTAAAAGAAATCAACTTCTACTTTTTTCTAAACCATAATCCTTGTAATTATTAATAAATAATAAATCTAGACGTCAAAAAAAAAATCCTTGTAATTATTATATTGAAAATTTATTTAGATTTACTTTATACTCGAAGGTATTATTTATCAAATGAAAAATGAAAATGAGTTTGATAAAAACCATTTTATGTTTGATTTTGTCACACTATAATTTTGCATGGACCATATTACTCATTGGTTGGTTACATAGAGAAGTATCACTAAGACAATTAAGACTATAATATTAGTAGAAAATGAGTCATGAATACATAACTGTACTAAAATCTATATATGATACTAATTAATACTGTAGTATGATTTAAAAGAGAAAATAAAACTCAAAAATTGGTCAAACCCCATGTAAAAATTATTCATATAGAAAACTTAAAACACAGTTCTAACGAATTTAGTTTAATCTTTTCTTTTCATTTTTGCTTTAATTATATAGATATGGTGATTATATATATTTATATTCTCGAGTTTAATAATTTTCCCAATCATATGCTTATGCAACTAGGATATCTCATAAGAGATAAAAAAAAAATGTTCTAAAATATTTTTAAATTTGTGGAAGTTTCTTTCATCTAGTTGTGGAATCGTCCTTAAAATCGCTGATTGCATATATGATATGTTAGTGGTAAGGATATGAAATGATTTGTTAAGTTGATTGTTTATATTAAAATAAAAATGTTTCGGAGGACAAAAGAAAAATCCAAAATTTAAACATTCATTGAGCTTTTTCAACCGACATGATTTAATTAGAGCACCCCCAATGGGTAATTTTTTGGGTTCTCTCAATCAGTTCTCTTCAAAAACAATTTCAAAAATAAATCAAAATCAAGATATAAGAAGAGAGACAGCTCTCTTGTGAGAGCTTTTGAGAGTTAGGAGAGCCGACGACGTGGCAGCTTCTCTTCCGTAGATCACAGTTCAGGCACCAAGCTTCAATTTCACGCAAAGGATTGGCAAAATGGTGAGTGAGAGAGATGGATGATAGATGTAATATTCAAATTGCTGGTGTTGAATATCGAAGAGAAGACGAAGAGTGGCTCTGGCTCTCGTGTCGTTGTTGGTCGCGTCTGAAATTGGATCGAATCGTAGAGCCGGTTTCACGATCCCTTCCCTCCACTTCACGGAGTCGTCGGAGAATTATTTGGGCCAAAAGCCTGTGCTCTAAGTCCACTAGGCCCATTGGCTAATTATTTGATTAATATTGTACTACCTATTTAACTTAACTAATCGAACCTTATAATTATGTTCTGATTGACTAATTATTTAGAAACGGAATTATGTTATTTTCTATCATTCTTTTACAACATTTAAACTTTGACATGTTTGAACATTTATTCTGTGGCAACAATCAACAGAATAACTAATCGTCTTTTTTTTCGCAAATTTATTTTCAAATGTATGAAATTATTGTATGTTTAATATGCTATGAATTGTAATATTTTCAGTTTTATGAAATAAAATAATTAAAATAATAATTTAATTTTTTCCTGAGAACCCCACAAAGAGAGCCTACCATTGGACTTTGCAAAATTAAAAAAATTTAACAGAAGTTCTCATCTCATAAATTTGAAAATTTTATTACTAAAAAAATGGTGAGAGTCCATGGAGGGCTCTCACCATTGGAGATGCTCTTAGGGAAGTACTTTAGATCCTGATAATGATGAAATTCCAAATATTCTAATAACATACACAAATCTACTTTTTGGTATCTATAATCTAGTTTCCGGTTTGTAAAGTATAGAAACATAATGTAAATTAATTCTCATCCGACTTGGTTTGATTCTCAGTCTTGGTTTGTTTGTTTGTTTGGCATTTAAAAAAAAAACCTTGTTTATTTGGCACAATAATATATATATATAAAATTAAATTATCTTCTAGTTGGTGATTGATTTGGGGTGATAATATTTTTTAAACCCACATTATCTTCTATTTCATTCTCACATCGGTTTTTGAATACAGTTTTGATTCAGCTCGAGTTGAGGAATGGGATTGGACTCTCCTACAAAATTATTTTTCATTTGAATGTGTACTCCTACATTTTTAACAATACTAATGACAAATCAAAATGCTAGAGTATCATTTAGAAATATCCAACTAAAATACATCTTCCTACATCAATAGCTATATGCAATATCTTCCCTACATAATAATTAGATAAGTCAACCTTCCTATTAAAATTCATGTGAAGATTTGATTGTTATACAAAAGGAATATGAAACTTTGAAATAAATAAAACCAAATCTCAATGGACCGGGAAGAATCAAGAATGGGTCGTGAGCGTGACACTGTTTACTGTCAGTAAAAGCAATGCCATGCATTGGTCTTCAAATCTTGGGATTATTGTTGATTTTGCCATTTTTTACCAAAATCTTTTGAAAATGCCATTTTTGCAAAAATCTTATGGATTTGCCATTTTCTAACACTTAAAAATGTACGTATTTCGGATTTTTTTTGGTAAAAATACGTAGTTTATACAAAATACTAAACCCTAAGAACAACCACAACCGACTAAACCCAAACATAACGAATAAAACGCATGTTTTCGTAGCCTGAAAAAGGGTAAAATCCATAAACTATTCAAAAAAGGGCAAAATCCACAAATGCCATCCCAAAAAATGGCAAATCCGTAATTGATTCTCAAATCTTTCCTTCTGACTCCTTCGCAATTTTTTTTAACATATAGTATTAGGCATTAATTTGTTTGACAAAAAAAAAAAATTAATAAAAAATATTAGGCATTAATTTATAAGTTTTACATAATAAATATTTAAATATCTTCTTACCAAATTCATTTTGCTAGTATTAGTATACCACAAGATGATCCTCTCTTTTCAATGATTTTTTCTTCTTCAGATTTTCGTACTTATATATTTTAAGAAGATAATCAGTTACTGACTTAGTTACATGGTTATGTGTTGTAATTAAATATATTTTAAGTAGGAAATAGTAAGTAGAATAATTTAGAAGATTTTCACATAAGAAAAGTAGAAAACAAATGACCATGTAGATGTAGGTTAATTATATTTAAGTTTAAGCTCATCAATATTTAAGGGGATAAATTGAGAAACAATCGATTTGCGAAATGGTTAGAAAGCTATTTTCTTTAATATTTACTTTTGAAGTATATAATCATCTGAAATAAGCAGAAAGACCGTAGTGCCAACCATCCTAAAACACTTTAAAAGAAAGAAAATTTCACATACAGTATTACACACAATATACTAGATTGTGTACATGTTGATAGGAATTATGGTCTGGAGAATATATAATTGTTTCATTTAAACTCTCTTTTTTCTTTGTATGAATGTAAAATTTATTCAACAAAAACTTTGGTACATTATATTCATCCTTTATTCGAATGTTTTCTAAAATTAAACAGAAAAATATGAATAAAATTTAACTTCCTCGCTGCAAGCCAAAGCCGGAAAAATTGTTCGGGTTAAATTGAGCATATCTTACTTCGAATCATGTGATCAAGAAACTTGATTAAATGATCTGCTGACTTGGGGAGCTCACCATGTCTTCGCATGTTCCTCTCTAACCATAGTTAATGGACTATTGCTTGGAAAACAAGTTTCAAGATGAAGCCAATTGAACCTTTAAATGTCGAGCCCGAGAGAATAGTTAGAATATCTGAGAACTTGGAAGATTGGAAGATTATCATGAAAGTGAGATTGTCATTTTTGTTTGTTCAATTTATGTGAGGGTTTCTCTAGTTCATGATTTGGTTATATAAAAATTATGATTCACGGTTAACCCTCAAACGTATCAAGTTCCCGAGGTTCTTCATCTTGTTACTTGTTTACTGTATTATGGGATATATAACTCTTCCTCCTACTGTTTAATTTACCCCAACATTTCTCATTTCTATAGTCGTTTTTTTGTATTTTTGGAAAAAAAAATCCTAATTAAAAAAAATATCAGAAAACTTTATAAGTATTTTTTATTTGTTGCAAATTTCATGATGTTAGTACTAGTAGGAGTTCATAACTTTCAAATGAAAACCCAACACAATTATTTAGTTATTTAATTCCAGAGACTTTTTCATAAACCTTTAGAATAACTACGTGAATACTCGCGCTACGCCGCACGTTTTATTCATTTTTTTCTTAAAGTTTTATTTCTAAATATCGGATTAATAAAAACTTTGCTTGAGAAGATTACATACAATATTTGATATATATTTGAAATGTTTTGGTGTCATTTTATTTGTTTTCCATTTAATTAAATAGTTAACATCTAAATTCTCATGCCAAAAATTAATCAAATCTCAAAACGATGTTTATTAATTAGGTAAGATTCAGGTTTGAGCGTTTATGACCAAATGAATATTCTTGACACTTCTGTGCTCAATCATTAGAATGTTAGATAGAAATCGATAAACTAGAAAATTTTGAGAGCTCACGTCTTAAAACATTTGTTGATCAAAAACGTCAATCACACAAGATACAAAAATTATGCGCCTCGGAGCGTCGATTGTCGTGATTTCTTTCAAAATATAATTTTCATCATTTTAAACAATGGAAAAATGCTTAGTGAAGGCTGATGCAACTATGAGATATTAGCGATAGAATGTTGATCGAATTGCAGAGGTCTCACTTTTGTGACGATGAAACTGAATCCCTTAAAGCGAAGATGAATAAGCAACAAACACGGTGACCAAGAAATCCTGTTGACGGGAGTTCTCTATACAAAGCATAAATGCTTTGTTGACTAATTAGTCGAACTTTCAATTTCACACCTTCAAAACTTTATCACATAACAATAATCCTACTTACACGCTTAAAATGGAAAGATCTGAAACAATAATTTACACAAGTTGTTTTACTAAATTGTAAAAAATAACATGGTGTGGATGAATTCAAACATGAATGAATAGCGAACATGCCAATTTAAATGTCAAGAACTTTTAATGTCTTTATTACTTTTTAAGGATAATGACAACAACCATACTAAATATTTCTTATGATTATAGATCTCGAGAAGGACATAATATTTTTTCTTTTCGTAGGAAACATTCGACAATCACTAAGATAATGTTAGACAAGTCTTTAATAACATTACTTTTCGTCATAAAAAATTGTGGTACTGGCTTCATTGTTGACAAATCATCAGTACACGTAAACATATCTGTCAACGTTCCGCTGACCATAGTGTTTAAGCCGTCATAATCTTTGGCAGCCAAATATTTGAGGGCAGATTCACGATTGTCAAGAGCATTTTCATATAATTCTTTGCATAAGCGATATTGAGTATCGCAGAAGATATATGAATCAATATCCGGCGTGTAGCCTCCTGATAATTTAAATTGTTTCAGCGTATCCGAAATATTTTGAGCCTGATAATTGAGCAAAAATTTGGCAAGACCAGAAAAATCTAATCTAGCAATTTTGGGATTTGCTTTCAGAACCTCAAAACAAAATGAAGAATTGATATCCTCTTTGGTGCATATGGTGTGGATCTCATCTTCTGTAACCATCGTACTAAACATTGCATAAGATGGGACAACAAAAAGAAGTAAAACCAATAAACAAGCCGGTGAAATTTTATTATCGGCGTATGTCACCATTTTTCTTATTTTATGTGTGTTTGGAACTTATATGTGAGATTTATATTGGCTGAAAAATATCTCTATAGTTGAATGCTAACAGATTTATCCATAATAAAATGATTGAATTTATTAGCAATATGTCAAACTGTTCAATATTTGCTTTTTTGATAATTTGACCATGTTTTTTAGTAAGAAAATAATTTGATTTTGATTTGACCAGCACTATGACAACACATTAGATAATTTTATTTCCTTTAGATTTGAAATATGTAGCACATGGTATATTGGTATTTGTTGTTACCATTTTACTAAGATATAAACTTGTTATTATCCCATTAATTTTCTATATTATAGAAGAGTTTTTCTTTTTGGTAGTTTCGATATAGGGCTTGACTAGTTTAAACGCAGCGGTTGCGGTTGCGGTTGTGGGAGTTTGCGGAAGCGGACGGTTGCGCTTTCAAGCATTATTTAGTGTTTTGACTGACTGGTTTAACAGTTGAAAACAAGTACGTTTATGGGGGAATTACGACTGGTTGATCAGCGGGTACAATAGCGACTAAACCAAAATAAACCATAATAAATTTAATATATGATTATACAAAAGTATAAAAACACCAAAAAGTATAAAAATTTTAAACATGACTAATGATTAAAAACCATATATAATTATTCAAATAATTTTTTTTACTGATAACAAAATAATATTAATATTGGAAAGTAAAGTTATATAATTATTATTTTTTAAAAATTAACGTGAATATATATAAGACTTGATAATATATAATTTAATGGATTTTCAGCAAATTTACCCTCTAAATCTTAATTATGCAAGTCAATCCCACAATCTCAAAACTCACTCGCAATATAGTCCTCCCGTGTAGCGATGATGTAGCACTCGATAAATCCGTTTGAAAACATAAGGGTTTTCTGCAAAAGAGCCCTCCATGTAACTTCTTTTTGCAAGACAAACCTCCATGTCGAATAAATGCAGGTCAAACCACAATCTGAAAAGTTAACTGCAATAAAACCCTTCCATGTATCGATTTAGTTTATTTTGGTTAGATTTAGTTTATTTTGGTTGTTTTGGAAGAAAAAAAAACGAACCAAACCGAACTTGATAAAATTTCGGTTAGTTACGGTTATCTATTCAAATATTTTTTTCTAATTTTACTTAAAATTTAAAAAAATAACTAAATTAAATTATACGCATTAAAGTAATATATTTGGGAGATAACTCCAAGTAAGTATAGCTAACTCAAGTAATTTAAACTGAAACATGAATTTTCCTAAGAAGATGTGCTTTGGGTTTTTGGGAGTCTTCTCCTTGTTTACGAAATACGACGATTCTGATTGAAGTTCATGCAAAACTCAAAGTTGTTTCATTAATGATTTGTCTACTTGTTGATTTGGTAGCTGCATTGAAGGTCCAGTCCGGTTCGATCGAAGACATCACATATCACAGTTAGATCAGTTTTTTTTTTTTTGTTGATTTGATTCAAATTCGAAGTAAGCGATTTCAAATTATCTTTCATTTTTTTACAGAGGTAAATTTTCTCAAGATACATATGAAGTAGTATCTAGTTCGGTTCATGACTCATCAATTACTATTTTTCCCATCTTGTCGGAGCTCTTGGGCTCTCGGTATTACAGAGAACAATATGGTGCTTTTTAGACTTCACTGTCTTAGTATTCTGAGCTATTCGTTTTCAGTCTTTGGAGTCGTCTTCTCAACAACAAAAGCACCAGGTGATTGTTTTCTTTACTTTTACAAAATTACATACTTAAGATATGAAATCATTTGGGATTGACTTTTACCTGTTCTTATCATTATAATTTTTTTATCTAAGATTTTTGTTTTGTAAGCATTTTAAAATTATTTCCAACTGGTAACATAGATCTTTCACTCTTTAAACCGAGAATTAGACACTATTTAGTAAGCATAACAATGATATCCAAATTAAAACAACTCAAAGGCAATAGAGAAGATAAAAAAAAAATCATACAAAACAAAGGAACTTGCCAAGAGAAACTTAAATATCAAAGAAACAACACATTTAGGAGTAGATTTTATCCCTTTTTTCTCTTTGGTTAAAAATAGTTAGTAAAATGACTTGTGAATCTCATTATTTCTCACTTAATCATAAGAAACACAACACTTAAATCATTATAAGAAGAATATTTTGTATGCCTTGACATAGCTCACAAATTAACGATCTAGGAGTATTGATGCATATTGAGTGATCATCTACATAGCATGTCTGTCAGACATCACAACCTTAGTTACACAATAATTGTCAATAAAAAAAAAAGATAAATTAGAAACACGTTTAATTTATCATAGTTGACTAAAAACTTGGTTTATTTTTGAAAATGCTTACACAGTTTTAAATTCCTCAAACCACTGAAATGGATGGTTAATAATGACTTACGAATACTCGAAGGCAGTGCAAATGTTTCTGGATATCTGCATCAATATTCAGAAATTAGTATTCATATCTACGCCAAATCTTCTATAGGACTCTTACTGACCTTTTAAAAAATTGAAAATGTTATTTACCTCCCACACTCTTATATTGGCACATATGATCAGAGGAATAATCATTTGATCGCCTTCGCTTTCATGTGTACTGTAGATTCACTTGGTTATGCATCTTGATTCAAAAGGCTTCAGTAAGCACGGAAGCCAATTGATTTTCTAGAAGATGAGGTAATGTGAGTTTTCTTTCTTCACTAATTATTTATAAATTTTTTTTTTTAGATAATTTTATAGAGATGTTTAGTCGGCTGTTGTTTAGGTTTGATAGAAAAGAACTTTAGAATATCTTTTTGATTTAAATAATATCTTATCCAAATTTAATTGAGATAATTGTAGATTTCACCTAGTTTTGGTATAGTTATACTATTAATCCGTTTAGTATGGAAAATTCACTAATTATATTGTTTTTGATATTGGAATATGCTCCAATAAATCCGATAAAAATATATATGGAATGTTAGTTTCGATTTAGTCAACGAAATATACTCCTATTAACCCAATTATAATCAATATAGTAGGTAATTAAAGAAGATTGCATTAAAATTTAAATAATATCCACACTGTGTAATCGGATCGAAAATTCAACCAACCCAAATGCATTTTTCAAAGATCCGCGCGTAATCTTCAACCGACCCAAATGCATTTTTCAAACATTCGCGCGTGTTTGACGGGTCGGTTTCTCTCACGGCTTGGGTCGGCTCAAATGGTGATGTTAATGTGCGATTTTACTCCTAATTTTTTTTCCTTTTTTCTTTACACTCTACAAGCCAACGAAAACTAAATGTAGCTCAAAAGGCATGACATTTTGCTGGTCCTCTTTCTCAATTAATAGTATAGATAATGGACGAGTAATAGAGAAATTGGCAGATAATATCTTTTATTAAGTACATTAACTCATAGTGAATTAACATAAGAGGAACAATATCATCAGAGCCCTTTTTCGTACGGAACTCCACTTGTTTTCAGCCACAATTCCCCAAGTAATAGCTTGGTAACAGTGAATTTTGCAGCCTCTTTAGGATCCGTAATAACTCTAAACCCTGTCCACTTTACCCTTTTGCTAGTCACAGCTCCTGGACCTCTGTTTTGATATTCTCCGTAGTAGAGAGTTGATAGACCAAATTCTCCTTGCCAAGGAGTCCACCCTGCATGATCAACTAAATCACCGTTGAAAGATTGTAGAACTGCAACTGTTGAATATTTCCTCCATGAACGACCAAGAAATGTCTTCACGGTTGATTTAAGAGGATCTATATCGGAACTTGCAGTGATGTTGCATTTCTGAATTGAGAAGCCGGAGTTGTCGCTCTCACTTACGCGTGACTGAGCGGTTATCACATTGCTATGCCCCCTCATAGGTTTTCTTGCAACAATTTGGCAGAATTGGAAGACCGCCGCAGCATTTCCACAAATAAAATCTATAGTGCCGGTAATAAAGCACTCCCTATAAAACTGGCGGTGTTTGTGAGAATACAACGCATCCTGATACCCCTCGATACAACATCGGTGAATGATAGACATATCACCACTCACACGGAGGGCAACAGCTGGTCCTTTCGCCGGCCCGACCGTGTTTCGAAAGCACATGTCTATTCCGATGAATCCGTCACCATTAGAAGCTTCAAATGTATTTTTATTATAATTAGGGTCTTTAAAAATGTTATAGTTTGGTAGAAAGAAGAGAAATCTATATACTATTTAAGAAGATAACACAAATTCTTACCAACAGTTGCAGTGTAGAAAGTCGTTTTACCATAGCTATAGCTTAAATTACCCGTGATGATAGTTGAATCTTGACTGTCACCGATGAGAGTTAAATTGGCTTTCGTACTCCCAATGTTGACGATTTCATCATAGACGCCTGTCTTTATATAGATGACGAATCTCTTTCGGCTGAATTTAGGTGCCGCTGCAATGGCCGCATTCACTGTGTTGTAACTTCCACTCCCGTCCTTCGCGACCACAACATCGGCAATCTTCTTTAGAGTCTGATTTAAGAAAAAACAGAAGAAATTCTATTAGTTGTAGATAAAAAAGGGATAAATATTTTTCACGATTGTTGACATTGGAAAGAAAGAATTGTTTCTCCATTGTTGCTTGATTACTCTCTTTCCCGATGAATAAAAGAAACATTGGGTTTTAGGCTGTTATTCCATGGGCCCATGTTGGTTTTTAAACAACCAAAAAATAGGATTACTTTTTTTTTTTTAATGAAAATATACCAGCTTTATAAGAACAAACATCCAAAAATAAAATGAAAATAATTTACTTTTTTACCATAATCAGATTAGTTTATTGAGGCTATTAATATCTATTATTTAAAGTAAATATATTTATGTTTTTCCTAAAATATGGGTGTATTTCAAAGGTTACAAGTTTATAGATATGAATTTAAATATACGATTAGTTGATTATCAAATTGTAACTTAAAAATATTAGGGTTCTTTTTAATTACCTCACGATAAAGATATAGATATTTTTTGTCAACGTTGGATAACCACGACGGGCCATTGGAAACCACCGACTTAAGTTCGGTGTCGTCTCTCGGTGAAATGGAGATGAAAATGGCCAAAGCTACTCTTGCCCTAGAAATGAGGTCCTCAAGCTCTGGCTCAACCCGACGTTTATAGGCACCTTCACCAATTTCGTCGGTACATGTGATGTAGCTAGTAAGAACGCCACTAATCCAAGTGTGGACATTTTCGTAAGATCCAAGATTAGGGCTTTCTCCTCCTAAGAGTTCCTCCACTGAACGGATCATCCTATCTTTTGCCGACTCCATCATCTCCTCAAATAGATTTGTGTCCTCCCTCAAACCAAGCATTTTACTTTCCACCTCCTCAAGTAGTTTCGTGTCTTCCCTCACACCAAGCATACCAATGTTGATCCTCGACACAGAGTTCTTTAAAACGGCAATCAATAAATCACGACATCTCATCTCCGAAAGTGACGAGGATACCATCTTGAGCTCCAACAAAAGGTTTTGACATGATTTTTTGTCGTCATATCCTTTGCAAACTCGGATCACCGTCGCTATGAATCCGTTGCTGTTGTCATCTTCAAGGCGGACTAGATCGGAGTTAGCTTGTGAAAACGTTATCATCACAATGAGAAAAGCGGAAAGTTTCGCATGAACCAACATTATTGAAAGTTTTTTTTTCTTTCTTTTCTCTTTAGTGAATTTAGATCATGTTAACTGAAGAAAGAGGAGCTATGGTGGTCCTTTTAAACAAACAAAAAAAACTTAAATTTTATTTTTGAGATTTTATTTTGTAATTATTACTAACTTCGTAGTTTTCTTATAATATTTGTATTTGTAGTTTTAGAGTATATGAAATAAATGATATCCTTTACTGATTTAAATGATTTTATGCCATTTACTGATTGGTGCAAATACGTTAGTATGTTCATTAATTGATGCTCTCACCAATTACTCTTCACTGTTAGTTTGACTTTAGAATTTGTGTTCATCCCAATTTTTTTTGCAGGTACAACAATAAGTCTTTGTTTTGATTTATCTTTAGTTACTATTTGTCCAAACTTTAAAAGTTCCGAAAAGGACAAACATGTGAACATAAACTAAACTAATTGATAATTTATATAAGTATAAATGCATATTACAGATGAATAATTATTTAATTAGACGAAACAATATTATACCACAACACTTCTATAACTTGCATGCATGCATGAATTAAAAAATTATATATGCTATTGAAATTTTCTATGCTATAATGATTGATGTACCAAGCTTTCTAGTATACCAACAAAATATATATGTACACACTTATTTATTTATTTATTTTCAATTAAAATTTATTTGGTATATAGAATTAGTCGCTTTCACTTCAGAATACTAATTGATTTTGTTTGGTTCGTTTGTAATTATAATGTGGTCCCAATTACTAGCATTTGTTGTCTTTTTCTCTTTGATCATCACAAATCCATTGTTCTAAACCTATAATACAAAAACTAATTAACCTTTACTTAAACTAATACATGTAATCGATAAACAAAAAATAGTTAGAAAAAACTTAATTTTGAGATCAATCTAAACAGTTCATTGAAATGTGAATTGAAGCTATTATTCTGTGATGGTAGGTTTAATTATCCACAAAAAATTCTTAATTAGGTTGTAATCGTTTCATGAGCATTCAATTTGACAGATTGTTATGGTCATCTTTTCCCATAAACTAATAAAATTTCTTGAAAGTTCAAAAAAAAAATTATGCATATGCAAGTGAAATGAATTTATTAACTAAAACAAACCGGTTGATGAATGAAAACTATGTACCTAATTTGATCATAGTGATAATAATATATGTATCTCTTTTATCTTTTCTTGTGTTCTATAGCTTTTGTTTCTATCTTTCTAAAGATAGTATAAAGACCAAAGTTATATTTAATATATGATTGTACTAAGACATGGGGTGGAGAGAGAGAGAGTAGATTTTGACAAAAAAAATATTATTATTTTGGATTTGTCCACTATAATACAGATCAAAATAAATAAAAAGAAAAAAGAAATTTGATCCTTTTTTTGTGAAAGAAGAAATTTGATCCTAGCAATTTGATCTTTAAATCCAAGAAAATTACTTTGTGTAATTTTTGAATTGTTCAATAAAAATCCAAATCTTAGGAATCTAAATCAACATTGAATATCTTTTATGGTGTAATTATATTGGTGAGAAGTGAAAGTAAAAAGGTAGACATGAAAAACTGAAAAAGGAATTAAAAATAGCATGATTGAAATTTTCCAGCTAATAAAAGATATAGATGGAAGAATTGTCTTACTTTTACCCCGTTTAGCTTAATATAGCTGAAATATTTATTATCCATTATGACGAAGAAGAAGAAGAAAGGGAAAGAGCGTAGTCAACAAAATCTGTATCGCCCAAAGAGTGTACCAAAGAAGACTGTACCGAGTAAACCCAAACCAACACCAGCACAACTAAAAGACCCTGAATTCTCGGACGATGATACCGACTACGTAGTGGATAATGATGATGAAGGACGTCTTATAGTATTCCCTAAAAGGTCTGTGGTTTTGAGTACCCTACCAGTTGCAGTGCGAGAAGAGTTACAGAAAAACAGCATAGTCTCTAACCATGAGGACTTAGCAAATATTTGTTTGAGTAGGGAAAGATCTGCTCTAGTGAATGGAAAAGAGTGTTTCACTCTTACGGATAGTAATGGACGTATTCATCTGTTTTGGATTCCCTCCAAAGTATCTTCAAAGTCAGTTTTTAGGAATGGCAATATGAACGCTGCCGGGTACATTAGAGACCAGTTTGACCATCCACTATGCTGGGACTTCTCGTTTTGTGATCTTCTAAGTGCAACTTGTGTGTTGTACGGTCATATGCAACGATATGAGCCTCTGAGTCAAATTTATGTGTGTCAACACGTTGATAGAAGTAATTACAAGAAAAAGAAGGTTGTGACAGATCATGATACAAAACAAAAAAGGTGTCATAGTTGCTACGAGGATTCCATGTATAATGCACTGAAGTATCTAACGAATTCAAAGGGTATCCCCAAAGCTGAAAAGAGGGAGATCGGAGAATTTGATTGCAATCAGGAAAGAAGTCTTAAACGCGGTGAAGAACTGTTTGGAAAAATAAAAAATGTGTACAGATATAAGCAACTTAAAGATGCTTTGAAGCGATTGCGAACCCATCCCGTGACTGCCACGTTAATCTGCTTTGAAGGGTGGCAAAACCCAGGAATTTATAAAGGACCTTACAGTGGCCCTCAACCTCCTTATTATATGGGTGAGCACCAAGTTGTGATGCTGGATTGTGTAAAACATGAAGGTACTGTAGTGATAAGGTGTAAATCTTCAAACGGGGTGGACACTGGTAATGATGGTTACCTTTTTATAGATCCAGAGATATGATTTATGGAAGTTGCAGGTGCCAGAAAGAAAGGTGGGGATTTTAGTTGTAAAAAGTACCCACAGAGTCTCCTTTACGATTTTTACTCCGTAGATATGGAAAAAGGGAAATATCCTATTACGATTGAAGAGACTGAGAGCCTTAAAATCTGGAACAACAAGTTTAAAATAGATTTTTCTGTTGGGAGGGGTCAGACTTCGGGGATGCAGGGATCTTCGTCTACTAATCTTCCATCTATTTCTCCCTACAGGTCTCTCTCTCTCCTTCTCTTATTTCAAACCATTTGAGCTCAAAATCAGGATCATGTCACTACTTATCTGAATTTGGTTTGTGAGATATTGCAGTTTCGTTAATTCTGGTTTTGTCTCTCTGTGGTTGTTCAGTGGAGAGAGTGCTTCTCAACCAGCGGGGATGCAGGGATCTTCGTCTACTAATCTTCCATCTATTTCTCCCTACAGGTCTCTCTCTCTCCTTCTCTTATTTCAAACCATTTGAGCTCAAAATCAGGATCATGTCACTACTTATCTGAATTTGGTTTGTGAGATATTGCAGTTTCGTTAATTCTGGTTTTGTCTCTCTGTGGTTGTTCAGTGGAGAGAGTGCTTCTCAACCAGCGGGGATGCAGGGATCTTCGTCTACTAATCTTCCATCTATTTCTCCCTACAGGTCTCTCTCTCTCCTTCTCTTATTTCAAACCATTTGAGCTCAAAATCAGGATCATGTCACTACTTATCTGAATTTGGTTTGTGAGATATTGCAGTTTCGTTAATTCTGGTTTTGTCTCTCTGTGGTTGTTCAGTGGAGAGAGTGCTTCTCAACCAGCGGGGATGCAGGGATCTTCGTCTACTAATCTTCCATCTATTTCTCCCTACAGGTCTCTCTCTCTCCTTCTCTTATTTCAAACCATTTGAGCTCAAAATCAGGATCATGTCACTACTTATCTGAATTTGGTTTGTGAGATATTGCAGTTTCGTTAATTCTGGTTTTGTCTCTCTGTGGTTGTTCAGTGGAGAGAGTGCTTCTCAACCAGCGGGAGATATTGATGCTGCTGAGCATTGATTAGAGGAGATCTGATGATAAGCATTGATTCAAGTTTTAGGTCTTTTTTTTCTTACTCTCTTTTGGACCTTTTAGGAAGGATTCAACTTGTTTTTTCTTCTTCAGTTGGGATTTTTTAGCATTTTGGATTTTAATGAGTTAGTAACTTTTCTTGAAGCACAAGTTTGCAACGTCAGAGTTTGAGGATTTGTTTGTATTTTGGATTTTAATGAGTTAGTAACTTTTCTTGAAGCACAAGTTTGTGATTTATTTGTATCTTCCGTTTTGTTTTGTTTAGTACTTAGATAGATTTGAAACCGAACACAAACCGAAAAACCTATCTTTCTCTCTTTGGTTTAATAATAAAATTAATTAAAATTTAAATTAAATTAAATAAATTTATATTAAACCAACATAAATTAATTATTCCATCATATCTTATAGATGTGCAAACATGATTGCTAGTTTGGAGGTTTAAAGTGTTAGTAAAATAATTTTGGTTGTTTATAATGTTAGTGGAAATCTTTCGAGGTTTAAAGTGCTACCCAATGATACTTTGAGTGTTAAAAATGTGATTTTTCCGAAAGATAATATATAAAGTGTGTGATTTAACTTTTGTTTTTAATGTTTTTAATGTTCTTAATGTTTTTAAGATTTAATAAACAAGATATGTGGGTTCGACCGAAAAAATATGGTGAAGTGGATAATGATGTGGACATTAAGAAGAGAAAAATCTCTTCCATAATATATATAGTTAACATGTACATTAATTACATGTTAAAATAGGATTATCTAATTTTATATTTACATTTTTTCCTTCATATTTTTGTATTGTATTTTATCATTTCGTTTTTTTTTATGTATATATTTCTTGGTGACTTATTGGTTTTTTTAAAATAAAATATAATATAAACTTTGATGAATTAACTTTTGTTTCTAATGTTTTTAATAAAATATAGGATTTTAGACTTTTAATGTATTCACTATCCACTGTTCAGTTATTTTTTAATTTGTTTCCAGTTATTCTTATTCAATATCCTACAATATTAGTTTTTTTTTTTTACAGTTTTAGTTGGATTTAAATAGTTTAATCACTTTATTATTATTGTTAGACTTCATATTTTGTTAAATATGGTATGATTATTTTTATTTTTGTATTTATAAAACTATGTAATCTTTTTTTTTTGTCAACCACACATTAATTAATAAATAACTCCTTGATTGGTTGCCCAACTAGGAGGAGAAGTGTTTACAAAAGTAACTTCAGAAAATAAAAGTCTAGAAGATCAGGCTAAACAGTCCGCTTTAACATTACATAAACGAGAAATAAGAGAAAGCGAGAACAAGGGAAAGTAGACACGGAGCAAACCAATCTCATCTAGCAGATTGGAGAAAGCGGGCCAATCTTCAGGTGACTGTATCATCGAGACTAACTCCGAACAATCTGTTTCAAACACCTGACAATCAATCCTTCTTGAAAGGATATTTTTCATAGCCCAAATTAAAGCTTCCATCTCCGAATGAAGGGGGGAGGGACATCTCCGAAGGCACTTTGCACCGAGTAATATCGTTTGATCGATTCCTTGAAAACACCACCATCCTATACCCATAGTTGGATCCGAAACTTTCTAAGAGCCATCAATCCGACATCTTATTGATTGAACTGGATTTTCCAAAACTTCCATAGTAGAGCTAGTTTCGACTGTTTCCAATTGAGCTTCTTCCCACATTAATTTTTCATTCAAAGCATGATTTAAAATATCTATGGGTACTGATTGTAAACCTTTGAAAACCTTTTTATTCCTATCTTTCCAAATGAACCACAAAATCCAAGCATAACAATATGTGAACTCCCCCCCCCCCATCTGGAGTAGAAGGTAATCTCCGATAAAGATAATCTAGATTTAAATATTCCGAGCTTAAAGGAAATATACCTGATGCCGTATGTATTGTGGATAAATCCCATATTTCCTTAGAGTGAGGGCATTCAAATAGAGCATGATTTATTGTTTCCTCTGCCATCTCACACCTTTTACAGATAATATCACATTGAATTCCTCGATGTGCTAATTTTGAAGTCACTGCTAGGGATTCCGATGCAATTTGCCATAAGAAATGTTTTATTTTTGGAGGGGCTTTGACTTTCCAAGCTTGTGCTTGTAATGATTGATAATTTGGGCCCCATTCAATCGTTCCTGTCAGCTCTCGAGCAACCCGATAACCTGACTTTACTGTATATATTCC